AAAAATCTGAAAATCTGATGATCCACACCAGGGTTGTGTGTCTGCAGAATACTTGTCTCATTGGATAACTTCAAACTCAGTCTCAAAAGTCAGGTAATCTGTTGTTTATGAAACCCCCAAAGTCTAAGTTCATGTTCACAGTGTCTATTTGCAGGAAAATTTCAGTGACTGGTTATCCTAAGTCAGGGCTCCCAAACACAGGATGATGCTGGCCTACCACTTCTCACTTGAGTACTTACTCTACCTTTCCTTCTCCTAATGTATTCATGGAGTGAATTCCTCTGTCCAGTTCATATGTTAATCATGGAGATTAAATAGGTAATCCAGGGAAGTTATGGTACTACCATAGAGCAACTGAAAAACTGGATCACAGGGACATGAACACTGGTATTTCTCTCACACCTTCCCATGACCTCCTACTTCTGGATATATAGTTCTAGAAAATATATCAATTATATACTGGCGAAAAAAAAAAAAAACACAGTGAGGGACGCCAGTGAAAGTCCAGTCATACTCCAAAGTCTCTACAGTTAAACAGCTCAGCAACCTTGTGCATGGGCAATGCTAGTCCCATTTTTATGGACAAGGAACTTGAAACCAAAAGAATTTGAATGGTCTAACCCAAGAAAGTACAGCCTACAGTGGGTAGAGCCATGATAGCCCTGACTCTCTCTGGTTGAACATTCTTTCTTCTATTTCACTATGTAAAATTTATTTATTTTTTTATAAAAAATGTATCACACCAGCAGCTACTTTTACATCGACTAATTTAGGAACCCACTCACTTACAGGATGCATTGAGACCTTAACATTTTTCTTTATACAAGACTTTAAAGTTCTTTATATATATTTAAAAAAACTTTATCAGTGGAAAACTGGCCCTAACAGTTGAATGTAAAGTTGGAAATGTTCAGTTTTATGTGTGCAAACACAAGCTATGGGGTGATAATTCAAATGTGATTTTTGTAGATAGCTATTACATTTCTTTAAACTGGTTGGCATTCTTAATCACGAATTAATCTTCCCTTTAATAAAGTCACACTTCTAAGTTTATCTTATTAATTTGTATTTTATAGCTCTCTATGACAGTGATTCTTAACATTACCCCTTTGAGGGGTAGGTCCTTTTCACAGGAGTCACACACCAGATATCCTACATATCAGACATTTATATTATGATCCATAACAGTATCAAAACTTTAGTTATGGTGTAGCAACAAAAATAATTGTATGGTTGGGAGTCTCCAATTAGAACACAGAATACTCTTAACACTCTTGTGGAATTTCTTTCTATTTTTCTCCTTAATTTCCTTTTTATCTTTGCTTTCTCTTGTTGTCTTTCTCAGTTGATTTTCTATCTTAAAGAGAATCCTTCAATTTCTACTGTCATATATTGATTTTACATGTGTTTAAACTTAACGTAAATGTAGGCATGGAGCACACCCATCATCTCTGGGGTGTCCTGCCTCTTCCCCTCACCACCATACCTGTGAGGTGAATACATGGTGCTTGTTGGCAGAGTGGTTCAGTTTTGGATAGTTGAGTTACATCATTGCAGGATACACACTTTCCTGCTGAATTCTGCACCTCCTCTTGTATCAGCTTGAGTTGAAGGTTCTAGCAATTTGCTCAATGTGTCTCAGAATCCACATTAGTTATAGAAATATTAATAATTCCTTGTGTGTATTCCTACTGCACCTATAGCTTATGCTCCTGGTCTTGTAATTAATGTTATTATACATTACTTAACTATAATAATAAGTCCGTGGTTTACCCCCAATCCAGAGGAATATCATTTAAGTTTGGCCATGAACAGCAGCTGACCCTGTGGCACCTGAAACCTAATAGGGGAATTTCCTTAGAGTTGTGTAATTGAGCCACAAGTTTTACTACTTTGTCAACACAAAGGAATTATGAGCCATCATGGCATTATGTCTTTACATCAAGAAAATCAGTAGTGAACAAGTCTGCAAATGGCCACACATTTTCCCCATTCCTGCTGTGTGTGATTTCTGAGAGGTGACTATGCCATCCCCACCTAGAGCAGGCCCTCTTTGAATATGCCCAGGGACCATGTACCTGTTCTGGTCAATAGATCAGTGGGTAAGACTGGGCAGGGGCTAGGGAAGGACCTGTACATTACATTAATGGGAATTTTTCTAACTCCATCAGAATGAGTCCAGAGTAGGCTCCGGTAACTGTCACTCTGGCTGGCATCACACTCTCTGCTGGCTGGTCCAAACCAGAATGAGCCAGAAACAGAAAGTCAGTTTACATGGCTGCTCATATCTGTCTGAACTTCCTGGTTCACCTTAGCTTTCTCTTTTCTCCCTTCTTTTACATATGCATTTCTTAGACACTTACAGAAAGGCAAAACCATCTGCATGTAATTCACATGGGAGACAGCACAGGTCTGTTTATACTAAACTGTAAAGCTGAGACACAACATTGTCTGCCTTTACACGTGACAAGCAGAGCACCACTCTTTGGAGCAGAGCTGCTGATACCCTACTGTGTGTGTGTGTGTGTGTGTGTGTGTGTGTGTGTGTGTGTGTGTGTTGTGCATGTGTGCATACATGTGTGCTCATATATGGTGTCTGTGCATGTAAGTAAGTATGGTTTCCTGGGCTAGCATAGTAGGTTTGGAAGCCAGAGACTAATGTAGGAATATGTCCCCTTAATCATCAGTATACCCTATTTAATGTTATTGTTTTATTCCTTTTTATATTTATGTCACTGTATGTGTGTGTGTGTTTGTGTGTGTGTGTGTGAGAGAGAGAGAGAGAGAGAGAGAGAACTTCTAGGAGAAGTTTCATCCTTTCCCTCCTTTTATGATTTGTTCTCTCAGCATCAAACCCAGGATATAAGCTCGGGGACAAGAGCCTTCACCACTGAGTTTGTTTAGAAACAACAAGCGGATTGCATTCTCTAATGCAATAATATTGGTTTATTGGACTGTGTCCTTACTTGTTTTTAAAACTTATTTTTCTAAAACTCACATAAGTCCTTATAAATTATCTGTCTTTGCACTCACACTTGGTCTTAATTTAAAACTTTCCATCTAAATAAAGCAATCAGTAAGCTAAGAATGGTGTATTTTGACCAAAGGTGAAACAGTCTAATGCTAAAATGTTCTTGTGGGAGAGAAATGAAAGGCAACAAGGAAAAAGATAATTCGGGTTTGTCTCTCATTGCCTTTTAAGGAGAGCACCTCAGAAATATCTCCTGTTTCTAAAGATTTCTATAACTAAAAAAGTTTATAGGGAACACAGTTACAACTGACCCTTTACTTTCCAGACCATCTTACATATTTTTTTTTTTTTAAAACAAGATATGACTCTTGGGTTACAAAGACTATTGAATCATTAGAATATTTGTAATATAGGATGGTATAACCCAGAGAACAAAAAAAGACAGCTCTGAATGTACTGAGAATTACACAGAAATGACTGTTGGCCTGTGCACTGATTGGCAATTAGGAAACTAAAAGTCAGTAGTAGTCCCGTTGCTTGTCTGATCCGTTTGGAATCTGTGTTTTACAAATCTGTTCTTTAGAAATACAAGCTGTCCCTTTTCTAAAGCATATATAGAACAGGGTGTCCTGAGATAACAGCGGTCACCAAATGAGTAGAGAAAGTGCCATCAGTTGGCCAACCTTTAAGGGCATCAACTCAAGTTTGGAGCCTCCTGCTGGGTCCTTCCTCCCCAAAGAGAACGCATTCAAAATTACACATAGGGTTGCTGTCCTCAGTGTCAGGTTCTTTTGATTAATGCATTGCATGGAGTGAGGGTCATAAAAGCAAGAAACAAGAGGGAGGGCCTGACAGGTGGTTAAGGATCAAGTGTACTGCTCCTTTAAAAATTAAGCATGCATGGCCCAACTTTACTCCCTCCCACTGACTAAGAGACCAGCTGAGAGCTGGGACAGCTCAGTTCCAGAGGGGCCACCAAGCCACCCACACTGAGATACAGGTAACCTTTTGAGCTGTGGGGAATACTTTACCTGAGTGCCAATTCTTCCTCATGACCTTCCTATCACTGGGGCCCATTTCCTAGAAGTAAGGAGGGGGTAACAGCAAGGGTTGCCAGGCAACATGGGACAGAGGTCCTGTCTAGGAGCTATTTCTCACATTGAGAGGACCAGTTGAAATGCAATAAAGAAATGGTAACTTGGCTTATTTATCAATACAATTACTTACACAGTATTAGGAATCCATATTTAACCTCCAAATACAGAGTCATATGTGGAAACATTAGCACAAATGCTTGATAAATATTAAGGCATGGGGCAAGCAGATGGTATTGAGTTTCTAATCAGCTTTACCGTGAGCTTAAAGTGGCTGCACGGGCTGGGATGAGGGGAAAGGCACAGAGTGCTTGGCTAGCTCCACTTTGGGCATATGCAAGTTAGCTCTGGCCACAGCATATGGTGTTCATGAAAAGAGCTCTAGGGTGCTTTACTGCATTAATTGGAGCAGGTAGTGCCAATTCCCGGGGGGGGGGTCGAGTAGCAGCTCAAAGTAGCTATAAGCTACAACTTGCTATCATATATAAATACCTAAACTGATTGTTCCATATATTGATGCCTGTGATTTGTCCAATGATGTCAAGATCTTTATCAGGAGAATTAGCTTTTGATTCTTAAGTTACGTGGTTCAGGATGGCCTTTGAGAAGCTCGCTGTTGTTTTCGTAGCGGGGCTCAAAGCCTTTATGCTTAGGATGAACTTGGGTTTCTCTTAACACCTTGTGAGTTTCTCCAGCAGACACCAGCTTTGACTTGTCTCCACCCTTCCTGAGGATATTCTTGCTTTACCCTCTCTGTGGAAGAGCATCATCAGTGTCCCAGAGATGGAGATCACCAGTATTCAGGTGGCGAGCTTCTGACGTGCTCCTGGCAGCAGAGCAGGTCTGGTTATTAATTTGGGAATGCTTCATTAGATGAAGAATACTTTTTTATAACCATGTGTTAGCTTGCTTGCTCTCTGGGCTTCTTGTATCAGGCCTTTCCCCGGGGCTGGAGAATGTGGGTGCTTTCAAGAAGGTGTTCACTGTGTCAAGTCATGCCATGTGCAGATTCGCAGGCCCCAGTACTTTTTTGTCACAGTGCAGCGGATGCTAAGAGCGTACAGTTGTGCATCCCGAGGATGTGTATGTATCCAGGACTGTCCTTATCGCTCTGCCTCTCCTCTCTACTCTGCCCTCCTGGAAGGCCTCCGAAGCTGCCTCTCTCTCTGCAGACCACACTGACCTCCATCCTCACTCCAGGATCTTCTCCACCAGCTTCCTATTCAGAAGTCACGAGAACTGCCCTCCTCTAGATGCTCCGAGGCTGGCAGCAGAATTTACCTTAGCTGTGTGGTTGAAGGCTGAGGGAGAAAGCGTGATGTGAGTAATACCATCAGAGTTGTGGGTTTTTAGTTAGCCTAGAACCCTGCAAAGCCAGATTTGAAGGGTATTGAAACCTGAGGTCTCACCTAGAAATCAAACTAAAAATATAGCTGTCCAACTTCAGGGTCCCCACAGTTGAAGACCCACCGCTGTGGTAGTCTCTCCTCTTCTGGCTTTGCAATCTGAATATTATTTTCCTGAAATGTTTCCCATCTGTTGGAAATGGAGTTGACCATGGAAAAGAAAGTGTTGAAATAACTGTATTGGAGGACATTGTATTTGAACATATGTCAACATACATATGATATTACATATAATAAACAATATAATTACATACTGATAAATATCAGTTATATTTGAGACATTTACTAGTCATTTATTTATTTCTCATAGACTAGCGGATGTTTTTGGTCCTAGTCTTTGGAATCTATAGGATGTTCAGAATGTACTTGTATGTACAGGAGCCTGTAATAAAAATAATTGTTATGTTTGAAGTCTTGTGCAAGTCTTGTGTATACAAAGTGTCTCTATTATAAAATAATTGTTTATTATGCAGGTAGCTTTCTAGAGGCTTAGGACTGTTTTACTTATCTTTATATTCTCAATAAATGTTGGTCTTCACTGTGTGGTGTTTCTATCTTCAAATTTGGTTGGAGGTAGACAGGCATGGGAAGTTCTCCAAGGCTTCCCTGATTTTGGATCCACTAAGGATGCCCTGGGCATGAGTTGTGAGTGAGCTCCCCTACAACCGGCTTAAGTCTGGTCATCATGTGTATTTCCTTCTGTAATCTTTTTTCACACTGATGTGTGAGATAAGTCCCCTAAATAATACAAATACAGGCCAGAAACTTAACAAGCAACATTTTTGGTGATCTTCATTTGATTTACTTTTAAGATGTTAGTAGGTATGCCTTTATGGGTATATGTATATAAGTCCAGTCCAAGTGCCTGTAGACACCAGGTTGATGAGCTGCCTGACATGGGTGCTAGGAACTGAATCCAAGTCTTCTGCAAGAGCAGCAATTGCTCTTAACCTCTTAGTCATTTCACCAGCTCCTAGGAATTTTTATCTTTTTATATATTAAAGTTTTTTCTTGGCATATTCATGCATGCATAAAGTGTGTTGTAGTTACTCCAACTTCATCTTTTGCCTCCTAGTGCACTGTTGGGTACCCACCCTTGTGATGTTTGCTTTATGGGGCTTGTTGGGCGAGTGTCTCAAAACTTAGGAAACAACCAGGAAGATCTTGCCATCTCACAAACAAATGTGTCTTAGAGGTGTTTATATCCCATTGGCCAAGTTGGAAGTCCATGTGTTTTACTTTTGTTCAAAGTTTGGAGAGAAAATAGTCACAGTCCATTTTCCTTGTTTCTACTGTTTCCCTGAAAAAGACTTTGCTCTTTTAATGTTGAATTTTAAGCCATCAGCACCCATATTTTAAAACATTTTTTTTCAGTCTAACAGAGACAGCCCTGTACCAAATGTCTCTTTTCTTGGCATTGCTTTGTATAGATAAGATACAGGGGCATTCACAGAGGTGGTGGCATGAGCTTTCTGGTTTGGAGGGGCCATTGCTTGTATCAAGGTCATTTTCATTCTTGAAGCTAAAATACCTATGGGAATTGGGGGAATTTGGGGTGTTTGCACTAGATAAGTAAAACAAACAAAACATGGATTATCCAATTATTGTGTATTCAGGAGCAGAATAAATCCAGTTCCTAAATATTTTACTACCTGCCTTTGTCTCACATTTATTATCTACCAAAGCTAGAGTGTTTACAAGCAAACAAAGTAGCAAGGGAGATAATCAATAACATATTAAGAAAACCTTTTTCAGCAAGCTTGGGGAAATAAGTCCGCATTTGGTAAATACATTCCTGTGTGATGATTGAATTCTCACTTGTAGATTTTACACTTAAGACAAATGAACAAAGGAAAACTCTTAGACTAAGGCCCAGAGACTTAGGATACTGGCAGATTTTTTTTTCATGTCAGTAAATCACAAATAGTCAACTACGGAAGTGTTAAAAAAAAAAAAAGTCTGCATTAGTATGTATGTATATATGTATGTTCACATGTATGTTTTTTTTAAAAAGCTTTTATCTAAAATGATTTGCCAAAATTAAAAAAGATGCTTTACTTCCTATCTTACCAAACACAGGTAAAAAGATAGTAAGTTCGGGGAGGAGTCTGTAGTATTCAACACGTCTCCATGCCCTCAGAATACCAATGCCCCTTGAATGGATTCTTGTTCCTACCACAATGGCAAGGCATATTTAGTGAACAAGAAGGACTTCCTACACATTGTTTGAGCTGAGAAGACAAAGTTTCATAATCAGTGGTGCCTTTGGAGATGCCTGACCTGAGTGTATGGCAGTTAGATTAGGAAGAGACCCAGGCTCTGAAATAAATGCCAAGCAATCAGGAAAGAAGTAACCTTGAAAACAAATTCCAGCCCAGAAAGGTAGTGTACACCTGTCACTTCAACACTGAGAAGGCTGAGACTGCAGAATTAAAATTAGCTTGGGCTAGATAGAAAACCCATCCCCTGATGTAAAATCAGTCTATCTTATGCCCCAGAAACTCCCTAAAAGCTGTTCTATGTCATCATGATAATACTTGATTTTATTCTTGTAAAGAAGACTTCCATCTAAGACCATCCCACCAACTCAGTGTCTCAACTGAGCTGCTGGCCATGGACGTGGCAAGCAGTCATCTTGTACACACTGCTTTTGACTTCTGACTGTTATAAGAGGAAGACAGGAGGGACAATAGAGAAATTCTGACTCCAGGGTCAATAATTTAGAGCTTTCCATGGGCTCCAAATTCGCTTAACATTAAAAGAAGAAAGATTTGCCCTGGTGACTCAATACCCATGTGGGATGTGGGATGTCCTAACACTTCCTATAATAGGCGTAGCCAAGGAACTGATGAGCCAGCATCCTAAATGTTAGTTTTCCAGTAGGACATTATGACTTTGTATCGTGAATCTCTAATGAAGGGTTTTGAGGCTCTGAGGGAATATATTGTAAATAAGATTTTTTTCCCCACTGGAATAAGATGACTTCTGTTGGAATACAGCTTTCTAGGGGTGTAGCAAGGCTCCAGTACTTAATGAAAGCACACCTTGAGTGGGGGTTGGGGGGTCACATTACTATGGCAACATCCTGCATGTTGATTTGGTTGAATGCTGACCTTCTCTGTCTTTTCTGGTTGCTTCCTTAGGTTTGCGATGGAAAAGTCAGTGGATGAGCAGATTGTGTTCGAAGTTACAATATCTGAGAAAGAAACCATGCTTTATTATCGCACAGTAAATGGTTTGCAGCCGCCAATAAAAGTAATGACACCAGGGAGAATTCTTATGAAGAAATGGATTCATCTCAGTGTGCAGGTGAGTAAAATAAAAAATATTTAACATTTGGTTAAACATGGGGATCTGTCATCCTGTCTCTTCTTTAAATGGCATCTACCTAGAGAAGCTGGAGTGGTGTCTAAATCCCAGGTATGTGGAAATGGCTGCAAAGGAACACAGATATTTCAGTGACCTCATGCTCTATCTCCTGGTATGTTTGTGGCTTCTCCCACTTACACTGCTGTAAAAATCTTAGCTCCAGAGTTGAACAGTAATGATGCTGTAAGCATTAATCACATGTCCAGGGAATTTCTGTTTTATTTGGTCACCACATTCTGTGTTTAAACGTTAACTTCTTCGGAGTCCTGATCTTACCAGTTGTGGCAGCATTGAAATCCTTGCTTGGTTTCTACAGCTGTCTTTCTCAGATAGTGTCTGATGGTGTGAATGAAACTTGGCCGTTGCATTAAACCAGTGACCTTAGAACTAGTGAACTTTGCACCTGAGGCATTTGGAAGGTGTTATATTATCACTGTAGCTGTCAACCCCAGTTTGGAAGAAAGTTAGAGGCCGTCAGATGCTGAGATAGCTGTGAGATGTCTGGCATTTACAGTGTCTAGAATGGAGACAGAGCAGCTTTTTGTTTCTTCAGGTGCCTCAGTGCTGCTAAAACACACTCTTGCTTTCTAAGCCAGAGGTAGAGTATGCTCCATTTTCCAGGAGGTGCTCCCATCTGAGCACTCACTCAGCAGTCTGCATAATCCCTTGTCATATTAGAGGACACTTGTAGTCTTGTTCATCTTATGAAACTCATTTTTTATTTCAAACACACATGTATATACATACAAACAAGTGTGTATATACTCATATGCATATATGGTCATATATGTGTATATATAAAGAAAGCAAGCTTAAACTATATATCCATATACATGTATATCCCTTATTCAGGTAGTAAATACATTTCCCTGGGAGGGAGGTATTGCAAATTCTTAATTTGTTTTATATTATTAGTTTGTAATGTCATCCTTGATAATTTGAGAACATTGTGCATACTCATTTGTTTTTAACAGCTCATAAGACTATTAAAAATTCCTTACTTCGCAAAGTATAGTAGCATCCCCAAAAGAAAAAAAATATGTGTGTGTGTGTATATAATATATATATATATATATGTGTGTGTGTGTGTGTGTGTGTACTTTTACATTTACTTATACATAAGTATATATATATGTACTTATACATGTAAATACACATATACATACATATACAAAATCACAGTTGGTTAATTGGTTTTATGGAGGCATTCATGGAACCACCATACCTACTCAGAGTTTCTGGTTAAGACATTAGCTCAGTGATTGATGTGATTGACAAGGATCAGGGTTCCCTTGTGTTCTATGTCAAGATGGCTCCCACCTAACTTCACTCCCTGTAGGAACAGCTAGAGTCCAAGCTTGCAGTACCCACTGCATAACAATTCAGTAGTTAACAGATAGGAAACTGTTTATCTTGTGTCTAGAAGTTGCCCATTCTAATAACTGATTAATACAACCAATTTGGGCTCTAATTTTTAAAATGAGGAGATAGAAACTTCTAAATAAAGTGTCGGTCTGCTTCTTGCAGATTTTGGTGCCTGCAACAATGAATGCAATCTCTCTGATTACCTTTGTTTTCCCTGGTCTATGAAAATGGGCAGGGCTTTAAGAATCAAGCTCCAATGTCAAGGAGGCAGCTGTGTCTACGTTACCATCCTGGGATTGCTGCCTTGTAGGGCAACACTGAAGTTAGCATCGGCATTTCTATGCACTTCAGTGGGAAAATCACTACCTAGGTTAGGTGAATTTTTTGTTTTTAAATGTTCTCTGCTTTAAAGGTTAACATACTGATGGTTTAAGATTTTATTAATTACATTTTGTGGTACGAATATTTTGCCGACATTTAGTTAAGTGTATAAATGTGTATAGTGCCAAGGGAGACCAGAAGTGAGTATCAGACCTCCTGGGACTGGAGTCACAGGTGTTGTGAGCCACCATGTAGGTGCTGGGAACAGAAGAACCTCAGCTCCTTGGTAGAGCATCAAGTGGTTCTCTCAACTACTGGGCCATTGCTCTACTCCCAATGAGGCAGCTTGTGTTTTAAATTGTTTGTCTGCTGTGGGATAATTTATATTTTCTGATTTATCAGTGGTTCCTTTGTTTGTTTCTTACTTTCTGACTTAAGAAATTAGAATTGAGTGTTTGCAGCAGGCTCTTGATTGATTCTCTGCCTGGTGTGGACACTAAGCTGTTTTCTAGACTGGCTGCAAATCGCAATCCTCCTGCTTCCATTTCCTAAGTGCCGAGATTACAGGCATGTGCCACTGTGCCTGGCTATTAAGTTTTAAAAATAAAATCACTCTACTCTAATTAACTCACAAATGAAAACATCACACAGTTAGATTAATGAAGCTGATTAAGCACTTGCCTGTTTCCAAACCCATACATCTCAGTGAACTTCCACACAGTTGGAATGGTCTTCTATTAGGGCCTTACACTTTCACTGTCAATTACATTGTTATTCACTTATTGACAACAAAAATCTAGAAGGTAATTAGCTTTATATTCCCTTTCATTATTCATGTGTCCTTTTGTTACTATACATAAACTACACAAAACACTGGTTTTTATTGTCAGACTTCCCATGCATACATGCAATTGCCCCATCATCTGTGTCCCCTCCTAACCATGGTTCTTGTGTGTGTAATGTGTGTGCACATGTGTGGACAGGTACAGGTATCCATGAAAGCCAGAGAAGGAATTCAGATTCCAGTTCTATCATTTTCTACCATAGTCCCTGAGACAAGATCTCTGTGCCTGGAGTTTGGCTAAGGCCAGCAAGCTTATATTATTAATCTCATGTGTCCACTCCTGACAGCACACTGGTGCAGGCACACAAAGCCATGCCTAACTTTTTATGTAGGTGCTGAGGATTTGAACTTGGACCCTCACACTTGCACAGCAATCTTCCCATGAGCCTTCATTTTTCCTAATACTCCTTCTGACTTCTTGTATTTTGGTTTGATTGTTTCTATATTCTACATATGACAAAAAGAATGCAGTGCTTGTCTTCCTGTTCACTTTTTGGAAATGATGCAATTATATTGTAATATCAAAAAAATTTAAAGATGTCAACAAAGTACCATTTAGAAGAGAATAAAAAGTCACACACACACACAAATCTATAACAAATTAGTGTGTGTGTGTGTGTGTGTGTGTGTGTGCGTATGAGTCAAAATTAATCAAAGGGACTAAATGCTATTGCCAGAGTAGTTGTTCATGCAGAAATTGATCCTCACCTTCCCTCCCCTGAACTTGGTTGTCTTCTCGGGCTAAATACCCCATGTAGAGAGCAAAGACTAGGGGATACACAGCCCCTCTCATGTGTGTTGCTTTTCATATAAGTCAATGGGAACAGCTTAGAGTAAGAGCTTACTGGAATAGCTCTTTCACTGATTAGTATCATAAGAAAACCAAACACCTTCTCAGATGGAGATTACGTGACAGACTGTTTCAGCAAACCCCAGGACAAGCTGGCACTGTCTTTTCTGTGGGTCATGATCCCAGGCTCCTCCAGAAAACCCTCCCAAAGGCAGGACAGCAAACTCCAGTGGGTTGAGGAATACAACTGTACTGGATTTCCCACTACCCACAATGTTATGTTACCTTGTCACCGTAGGCATTTTATAGTCATGTCTAGTCTCAACCCTCTTCAGTTGCTATTTGAGCTACCAACCATTTCAAATCTCACTGGATACATTCTTCAGTGAGCTTGCCACCCTGGGCCACATGGGGGATGCTGGACGGGACAAGATGGTCTTCTTTCTGGGAGCTTCAAGGACTGGAACTGTGTGAATTTATCTCTCGGAGCAGCACACATAGTGAGGCATATCTCAAACAGTAGCTCCCCCGGCACCTGCCAAGTCATGTTAGTTCACACAGACTTTGTAACCTGTGTGTTTTTGTGTCAGTTTTTACCCATGGTCCCTCCCTTTTCCCTTTGTATGGCCTTTCCTCTGTGCTTTGTTCCCAGGGCCTGTGTTTGCTTAGTATCTACTTCTCATTAACAAATTATAGTATTGAGCAAGGGAGATGGCACTTGCCACCAAAGTGGATGATGTCAGTTCAATCCCAGGGAGTGAACCATGTCCTGAGACTTATTCTCTGACCACATGCAACTTGCCTTCGGTCCATGGAACACACACACACACACACACACACACACACACACACAGAGTGAATAAATTTAAAAATATAAAAAATCAGAACGTTAACTTCCCTTAAACATTTTTAAATGGCTTTAAGTGATTACATCCCCAGGCAACAAAGATTCCAGTAAGTGCCAGCCATATGAACAGAAGAGAACTAATGTCCTAAGCACAAAAATATCCAAAATTGTGTTAGTGATACATGTTTCTGCATTTATTTGGAAGCCAGCATTTTGAGGTAAGAAATGGCAAAAATTGGGTAAATGAATATTCATTTGGGGACTTCAGTCTTACATGGTTACTGATTTAAATTTTGCTCTGGGACTTAACATATTGGTCATTTCTGATTATGTAATATGAGAATTTATTAAGCCACATTATTTTGTACTGAAACATGAATAATCAATTCATATTTTTTGGCACAACAGGGATAATCATAGGAGATTTTTAAGGGCTTAATATTCATAGTGAATCAGTATGTGTTATAACTACTAAGAGACAGGTCTTTAATTTTCTTTGGAATATATAGAGGAATTTATTGATTATATTGTTGTGGATTGGCATACAAAACTATGTGGAAGTATATGTTTAGCTCTCCATTACTTGAAAGTAAAACCTCAGAGTCTCCTGTGAAAATTGTCTTTGCCTGTAACCACTTCCCACACTTCAAGGAACCTATATCTTCAAGAAATCACTGGTAGAGTTCTCTAAAGACTATGCTGGATTGCTGTAATACATGAGATGCAGTGGACAAAGTTTCAGGATAGTGGGGGCTCAAGGCTGACCTTTGCAA